GAGCGACGAAGGACGGCTCTTCGTTCCGACCGAAGCTCAATAGCTGCGCGATGAGACGGAGGAGACGACGAGACGGTGCTCGAGACCGAGCTCTCGCGACCGAGGATGACCGCGAGGATGACGATGAGAGAGAAGTCGGCTCGTCGATTTCTATTTCCTTCCGACCGCTCGAAAGAGACTGCGGGTGATATACTTTTCGAATGATCCAAGTTCCGTCTCCTTTTCTTCACACGAACGTCGCGTATAATGTAACATTGTTTCCTGATCGACGGGCCGATTCTCTCGTCCTCTCGGACAAAAGGACCCCCGACGAGAATGAGACGGAGGAGGAGATCCTCTCGCACTGTGCGTGATATGAAGAACGGGTAGTGCTCGTAGAATGATATGTCACGGCTGCGCGCGGTCGAGGGACGCGAGTGCACGTGGAAAGAACCGCGAGGAGCGCGAAGAGAAGCCCGGTAAAAATCGGGCGGATAACGAAAGTAACCCGGGGCGTTTCTCCCGGGAGAAGGGACGCTGCAAATCCAAGGGTGTTATTTCAGGCTTTTCTCACATACATCTCGCCGTTTTAAATCACCACATTAAACACGATTAAACGTTTCGAAATGACGTAAACTAAAACGACAGGGACGACGTGAAAAGAGTCTCGGTGAAATGTGTCGTTTCCAGACATTTGTGCCTGTAAAAATAACACCACTTGGATTAGCAGCGCTCTGTTGCCGTTGTCCAACAGATCCCGTCCGATTTCTACCGAAATATCGCTCGCTGATCATTCTCTCGATCTTCTCCCGCCGATGACGATGAAGGATCCGGAAGAATCGGATGGGGTTCGCTCTTCCTCCCGATCGTTTCGTCGACCGACGGTCGCGTCGGGGGGTGGAGAGACGAAGAGAGAAAAGGGGGACAGATCTCGGAAAGGAGCGAAGTGGCTGGCTGCGAGAAAATCGGCTGCCCGCGATCTCTTTACAATTCCTCGTCTATTAATATCACACCTCTCCTGGACGCGCGAGCCCGTCGAGGCCGATCTCGCCGTGGCGGCGTCACCGTGTGTCTTTTATCACCGAGGAAGAGGCGCGTTTCGACTTCCCGAAGCTTGTGTGTGACTCCTGAATCCCTCACTCTTTCGATTAAGTTTTGCACACAGTGTGGTATACCACTAAGAGATAATGCACGTAATAATTACGCTACATGCGCATGTATATGTGTACGTATGCGTGTGTGTGTATATGTGTACGTGTATATGCACGTGTGTCGCGCGCTTGCGTGTACGTGTGTGTGTGTATATATACACTTTTATATTATATATAATAATTCACGCTTGGCTAATATTGGCACTTGGAGAGTCCCTATGTTCCTTTCCCTCGTCTTCTTTCTTCCCGTTCCTTCTCTCCTGCTTTCCCCTTTCCCCCACCAGTGAATCGAGAAAGAGTGTCGTTTGGACCTTGAGCATGGATATGGATCGTGTCCGCGAAGCGTCGCTCGAACCGCGAGCGAACGGAGGCGCGACTCGACGGAGACGTTTAGGGGAAACCGGTGGTGTTCCTTTTTCTTTCCTTTTTCTTATGTGTGTGAGTGTTTTCAGGCAGTAATTCGAGCGTACCTCGACAGGAATAAGGACACTGTGTCTTCATCTCCGCGACGCGATCGCGGCGATCTTCCTCTCCCCTCCTTCCCTTCTCCGCTGTACTCGACTTGTCTCGATTTCACGCCTTGGACGTAGAAGCGAGCGCGACGACTCGGCGAACGGGAGAGCGAGCGGAAAAAGATCTCGCGTTTTAATTCGAATCTCAGAAGGGCGGATGTATTCGCAGTTCGCCGAAACGTCCGCCGGAGACCCCGCCACCGGGACGCGTTCCGCAAACGGGGGAATCGAACGACGTCTCTATAAATCTACAGGAGCGAAATTGTCTTTCTTTCTTCCTTCTTTTTGTTTTTTCGTTTTTCTTTTCTTCCTAGCGCAAGTTTTGATTCTCCTTCGAAGTGAGGGAGTTCGCGGCTTTCGTTACGAGAAATATATTCTTTCTTTCTTCCGTATAAAATGTATATCTATATTCTCTGTCTACAAGCGCGTATTCTCTTTTTACTACGCGCGCGGTGCTTCGTGCGCGAACGCGAACCTACGTCGAACTCATTCCGCCGAACGATCGAATACTCCGGAACAATACCTCTTTTTTGTTTTTCCCTCCCTCCTTCCTACTCTCTCTCTCTCTCTCTCCCCCCTCTCAATCACTCTCTCTCTTTCTCTTTCTTTCTTTTTGTCTTTTTTTAAATTTTTCCTTTTCTTAACAAGAGGACCAGCGGTCTCCGCTAATAATAATCTCTCTTCACTCGCGAAACAATAGCGGAATTACGACAATCAAGGGCCAAGCGTTCAAACGTTCGTTTAAATGCAGCGTTAAGAGCACTTACTTTCACGAAAAACGCAATTGCTTGGACAACGCTCGAGTTTAACGAAAGCGACGAGCGCGAAAGATATATACCGGGCCTGTTGCTTAAGTTAACGCGCATCAAGTTAACTTACATCGCAATCGATAATGTTTTCTGGCATCTGAACGTTGTTTCAGTTCAGTCTCTTTGGCACTGTTTCTAACTCTTTCTCTCTCACTCATTCTCTCTCTCTCTCTCTCTCTCTCTCTCTCTCTCTCTTTCTCTCTCTTTCTCGCGGTTGAATCATCAAGACAATCGATTGGCTGTTCGACGGACGACGAAAGGATTTGTCGAAACCTTCAACTCACAGCTAACAAAGAACACCGCCTTCCGATTTACATAACGTAATTGATAGCGCGATATTATTTACAAATAGTACAATTTACAAAGGACACTGACTCGTATAACGTGGTAACTACAGACCTGAAAAAACGTTCAATCTCGGACGAGCTTTGGAAAAGCGGGGAAACGTCGCGCGCCAATTTGCACCTGTATGGCACAATGTGCGACTGTCCGTTGTGTCCGTGCGTCCAGAATTCAGCAAAACGTTCATTCTACTACATCCGTGACCAGAACGGCGAATATGTTAAAGCGATGACTGAAGTAAACGACGTCATTAACAACTTTTCCTTTGAATTTTGAAAATCCCGGGGTTCCCCTCTCTCTCTTCTTACTCGCTAAAAATTTAAATAATTTTAGACTTTAATAATTTATAATTTTAACTATAAAATAACTTTAAACCTTTTAAATCATCTAAGAAGAGAAACGAAAGAAACGAACAAGAGAGAGGATATACATGCATATTATATACCTACAATTAGAAATTTGCAAGTCGAAACGTAATCGTTAAAACATCGTTAAATATATATATTTACCGATTTCTGTAACTCCAAATATAACCTACGAATGAATATTCCAACTATTACATAACGATTATCATAAATTATTTAAAAATACTAGTTACATTGCGATTACACAAAACAGTTGTATAATTTACAGTCGATTAACTTAAACTTTCCTTTTTTTTTTTCAATCTGCCGCTCAACAATATAACATACGTTACATTTCTATAATATTTATACGTAAACGTGCAAAGTACACGTACGCGATGCAAGCACGTACGCATATCGAAGTGTACCAAATTGTTTTGCCGTTATCGCGACTATCGTTATTTTTCGTCTCTCGTCTGGTCACCGTGCCGTGCAGATTCGTCTCGGCGGCGACCGTCTCCTCTTTTCTCCGATTACGTTCCCCGATACTTCATACATGTTAACGATGTAAATCACCGAAATATCATATCGTTCCTCGTGCATCGCACGTCTTCAATAAAGGGAGTCGTCGGGTGCACGACGCGACGCGCACTTAGCATTATACTGAGATTACATATCTACAGTGTGTGTGTGTGTATGTGACTTTTTGCTCTCTTCTCTTTTCTTCTTCTTCCTCCTCCTTTTCTGCTTCTCTCTCTTCTTTTTTTTTTCCTTTTTCGTATTGCACAATGACGGGAGAGAAATCATACACGGTGAGTGTATGGGCGTCGGTATCCTCTTTTTCATTATAAAAGGTCCATTCGACAAACGTAACGAGCGTCTCTTAACAATTTCATTATATATATGCAATATATTAATCGATTATAAATAACTACGCGTCGCAGAAAACGAAGGGGGAAAAAATTATTAAATAACTCGCGTTTAAAATTCGTCTAATGTTCGGTAGATCGCCTGGAATCTACGAACTCGGCTAACAACATTCGAATAGCACGGGGGGGGGGGG